GCCGAGCTTGTCGGCATAAGTGAGAGACATGAGTACCAACATAACGCCACAAAAAATTCGAAATTCGAATATATGTACGTAACCCGCGAAAATTCAAAATTCGCGATATTTTTTGAACACACCTCGTATGATGTAAGCTAGAACAATTGTGATATAAAATTTGGATCCCCAAACCATATAAAGGGTGATCCATTTCGAGGTTCTCTACTTTTGTAAAGTGAAAAGAAAGAAAATTCATACCTAATGGAGAGTGTTTATTATCATTTCAAAGAACATTCTTTGGCAATTATTTTTTAAGGTTATCTATTTCAAATGAAAAGGCGCCGGCTTGTTGAAATCGAATATCGCCGAGATCTCGCGCTGCAATTTCAGGCACCAAATAGTCTATTAGCATAGTGATGTGGCTTAGGAAGGTCACAAGCTGTATTTTATACAGTTTCAATWTAAGATCTCGACGTAAAATACGCCAAGTACACTCTCAGCTACGGCTGATATATTTTCATCACTGCGTGCTGGACGTGGTCTATTCGGTCGAATATTATCCTTTAGTGAATGTTGATGGGTGATGGTGTTGCGAATAGTATGTTCAGTAAGCCGATTATGTTGATCATAAGTTGAGCGCAGCGCGCGAATCACATTATTTATAGAACGTGAATTTTCGTAATAAAATTGAACGATTTGTAAACTTTGTTCAGGCGTAAGCCCTTTCATGATGAAATGACAAATAATACTGAACAACAGTAACAGAACAGCTTGACACGACKCACGCGTGATCTGTCAAAAACAGGCTATTGCAAAGAGCACCCCCGCTTGGATCACGCGTTATTAAGATAAATTATAGTCTAAAAATGTTAGACCCTTTAATTTGTCGGATAACATCAATGAAMACATATAAATAGTTTTGTTTCATTTTCCTAATTGAATTAATAGCTTAATCAACATTGGAATTTGCATTACATACGAGTTTCTGTGATGAAGTTATACAGGGGTCAACCATTGTTAATCGATTGGAAAGCTTTAAAATGCTRCAATGAAAGCGCGCAATCAGTCAACTGCAAAGAGACACGACATTTGCACACATAAATTATGGAGAAGGCACTTAACACAATTACACAAACAATTACATGGCGCTGCAACAATGGTATTGAAATGTGACTTCGATTTCTGCGGTTAACAAACCAAACGCTGAAACAGTTATTAAAAGCTAGAGAACACAATGGCAATCAGTCAGTAGAAGAACAAYAGCCGAATCGAAAATTAAAGTCGAAGTGCCGCAGACAGTTAAACTTAAAATACGCGACGGCATCCATAATCTGGGTAACGCCAGTATCGTTTGTATGCAACAGGATTCTTTTCAACGCTACTTCAACA